CCGCTCCCGCGCCTCGCTCAGCCAGTGAGCGGGAACCGGTCTGCATGTGGGATTCGAACCCTCGGGCGGGAGCGCCGCCGTGCTTCCCAAGCAGCGCACTCATCCAGTGCGCCACCGGGCCAGCCCTATCTTGGGATTTTCTGTGTAGGTGGTTGTGTTGTTTGTGAATAAGGACAGTCTTATTTCTTTATTTTCCAATCTTCATGACTTTTTTTCTTTTTGGCAGCTGGCTGCTTCAGGGATCCAAACCCTTGACTTTGGTGTTATAATACCATAACCGAGTGAGCTAACTTGCCAGCCCTTTTTTGTTGACTTGCTGCACTATCTGGGATTGCCAAATGATGTTGAATAGGAATGATAACAGTAGATATCCTTGTTTTGTTCCTGATCTTTAGCGAAAGCATTCAGCCATCATTAAATATATTAGCTATAGGTTTTGTGGATGCACATTATTAGGTTGAGGAAATTCTCTTCTATTCCTAGTTTGCTGAGAGTTTTTATAATGAATGGATGGTATATTTTGTCAAATGCATTTTCTGCATCTATTGATAAGATTGTATTGTTTTTATTTAGTCCATTAATATTTTGGATTGATTTTTGAATATTGATCCATCCTTCCTTTCCAGGACATGGTCATGATTCCTTTTTTGTATTGCTGGATTTGAATTGCTGGTATTTCATTGAAAATTTTCGCATTTATTTTCTGTTTTCTTTTTTTGTTACTTTTTTGGCAGCTGGCCAATACGGGAATACAATTGCATTTAGTTTCATGAAGGATATTGGTCTGTAGTTTTTTATGTGCTGTCTTAGTCTGGTTTTGTTATCAGGGTAATGCTTAGACTCATAAAATGAATTGGCAAGTGTTCCTTCCTCTTCTATTTTTAGAAGAGATTGTGTAGAATTGGTAGTTGTTCCATAGAATTTGCCATCGACATGTCTGGCATGGAATTCTTTGAATTTATCCCATTTAGAGTTTGCTGAGCTTGAATCTCTATGTTTGTCTTTCACAAAATCTGGGAAGTTTTCAGCTATTATTTCTTCTAATAGATTTTTGTTACACATCCT